CTCCTTTCTCCCTCTGGGATACCTATAATCCTTATGTTACTTTTCCTAATTGAGTTGGATATTTCTCAAAGAATTTCTTCATTTTTTAAAAATCTTATTTCTCTCTCCTCCTCCACTTGAAGCATTTCTAGGTTTCTATCTTTGAGATCACTAATTCTCTGCTCCGTAAGATCTACTCTATTTTTCATGCTTTCTACATTATTTTTTAAATCATTAATTGTCTTCTTCATCTCCAGAATTTCTGTTTGTTTGTTTGTTTTTAGCACTTAAATCTCTTTGGTGAAGTATTCCTTCTTGTCATTAATTTTATTCCTGAGCTCATTGAACTGTCTTTCTGAATTTTCTTGTAATTCATTGAGTTTCTTTATGATAACTATTTTGAATTCTCTGTCAGTTAGATTGTAGTCTTCTGTGACTTCAGTTTTGATTTCTGGAGAGTTATCATTTTTCTTCTGTTCTGCAGTGTTACTGTAGTTCTTCAGGGTGTTTGATAAATTGATACTCTCTGGTACATTCGTGGTAGTAATCACCTACTCCTATTTGGGTACAGCTTTGGTTACTTTGGTTCTGGTCACCTGGGCCTTGTGTTCCTCCTCTGGCTTTCCACGGGCTCAGATGCTGCTCTCCCATGCACCACCTCTGCAGGTGTTCCCAGGTTGTCTTGAGGTGCTGGTTGCACTACTGGCAGGGGTGCCAGGTTCATGGGTGTCACTGTTGCTGGCAGAGGCCTGGGATCCTGGGAGCTTGTATACAGCCCCCGCTGCTGGAGGAGCTAGTGTCAGGGTTGCCACCACTGGGGGCTGAGTCACCAGTTCTGCTGTGGTTCCTGTTGCTTCTGGTTGCAGATTCCCCCTGCCATCATTGGGGGAGGGCAGGGGCTGTTTTTTCTGCTCCCATCCCATCTGCTCATGGTTACCTTGGTCAGCCACTCTGCGTTCACGCAGGCCGGGCCACAGCTGCTTGGCAGGTCACACTTACACAGGTGGGGCTGCCACTTGGGCAGGGTGCCTTTGTGAGGGCTGAGCTGCTGCCACTCTGCAGGGAGTATTTGCAAGGGCGGGGCCACCGAGGCATGGTGGGTGCCCCTGCCAGCTGGGCTACTGCCACTCCACAAGCATTTGTGCATGGGCCAGGCTGCCCCTGCCTCCACTCACAGTCACGCTGGCCACTGTGTGAGGATCCAGTCCTTGATCGCTGCTGCCGAGGAGGGGGAGGGGCCTTTCTTCTAGTTCCACTGCTTCCTGGGGGTCCAGTCCACCCACCTTCAGAGGTGTGACTGCGTGGATCTCTCAGGCATCCTGTTGTGCTGTGTAGGGAATCCTCTATTGGTTAATGGATGTCCATTTAATTGTAACTTAGAGGGAAGAGACAAAGGGAACAACTCACTCCACCATGATGCTGATGTCACTCCATGAATTATCTTTTATTTCCTCTTTTATCCAAGACTTACCTAGGAGTTAATTCCTTAACTTCTAACTTTTTAAGGCTTTTAGGTCATCTTTTATCATGTATCTATAATTTTTCATTTTTATGAAAAAAAATACTTTGTGGGATGTAAGAAGTCCTTATATATGCCATATCAAATTATTTGATTATATAATTCAGCTCATCTTGTTAAAAATAAAATTCAACTGAGTAAAGTTGAAGATCTAATTGACTTTATTAAATGATTCATAAATTGGGCAGCATTCCATCTAGCAAATAGAAGGGCGCTCCAAGGAGTTGTACAAAATGGAATGTTTTTATAGGCAGAAGAGTGGGGCAAGGAAGTTACTAGCAAAAGAAAAGAAAGGATTGTTTCAGGCCAGGACATCTTCTTTTGGGAAAAGGGAAGGCAGGGGTCTTATCATGCAGATTACCTCACTGGTGCTAATCAGGAAATTTCAGATTGCCTGTTAAGAAGGTCACATTTCAGAGGCCGGCCGCATGGCATAGCATTTAAGTGCTCACACTCCGCTGCTGGCTGCCCAGGGTTCAGATCCCAGGCATGCACCAGCACACTGCTTGTCAGCCATGCTGTGGCAGCATCCCATATAAAGTGGAGGAGGATGGGCACAGATGTTAGCCCAGGGCCAGTCTTCCTCAGCAAAAAAAAAGGAGGATTGGCATGGATGTTAGCTCAGGGCTGATCTTCCTCACAAAAAAAAAAAAAAAAGAAGGTCACACTTCTGGGATAGGCTGAAATTGTAATTAAGTCTTACTTTGCTGTCGTGGTGGCAAATGACTTCATTTGGGGCCTATTCCTTTTTTAACAATCTGAATAATGTTTTGACTAGTATAACATTGTTCTATAGTATAATAGTTGTTGTATAGTATAACGTATAATATATATATAGTATAATATTTTATTGGTCTGAGTGATTTTTTGACTATTAATTCTGGCTAATTGTGAGAAAGGTATTTGACAGCTCTCATTATAACTATATTTATAAAGTTCTCCTTGCCTTTATGTGTTTAGCTGCTAAATTTGTTGTCTGCTTTGTGATTGTTATATCTTCTTCATTATTTGTGCCTTTTATGACTCTAGAAGGATATTCCTTATACTCTAAGCGCTTTTAGCCTAGATCTCCACCTTGTCTGATATTAATGTTACCACTCCTGTTTTCATTTGCACAGTATTTCTTTGCCTATTATTTTATTTTCACCATTTTATTATCACCTTGTTTCAAGTATGGATCAGTATGTCCAATGAGCCACATCTTAGCATTAACGTTTTTCTAGCACGTCAAACTTCAGCTTTCTAACACTGAGCTCATCATTTTCTCCCTAAAACCCTTTCTTCTTCTTTGTTTGTTTGTTTGTTTTAAATAGAGTATCCGGATATTCTGCAGGGCAATCTCTACCCACCCCTTGCCCAGGAGCTCTGGATGGCATTTCCTTACACCCACTTCAGGATAGGCATGTGACTGCAGCCTGACCAATTAGACTTTACATTCTTCTAGCCATATAGACCCAAACAGAACTATTCAGTGCAACTGGATCCAAAAAGATGGCGGCTGTCTTTCAGAAGAGGCACTTCAGAACATAAACTTTGAAACCAGACCTCCTGGGCTCAAATCCTGGCTCTGTCTCTTATTTGCAACTTGGGGCTAGTTGCTTAATCTGTCTCAGTTTTCCTACCTACCTCATTCTTGGGATAATTATAATATCAATATATGTAAAAAGTCAGAACAGTGCCTGTGATGAAGTAAGCAAATATGGGTGTTAACTATTGTTATTATCTTCTCTTGCCCCAGGATCTGGGAGGAGAAGCCTGTAGCTGTTGGCAGGGCATATAAAGTCTGATAAGAAATGAAGTCAGCATGAAGGAGAGCAGAGCCAAGTGGAGGAGAGACCTGGGTCCTGATCACAAGGTTGAACCCTGTGATAAATAAATGGCAAGCAATGTGATATATTGGAGCATATGAGGAAGCCATTTGGGGTAAAACTAATTCGGCCTGAGTTTTTTTTTCCAAAAGGGCCTGTAGCCTTTAAACATGAATTGTGTATCTGCTTTACCATGTCCCAAAGAGAAGGACGCCCTTAAGATAAGGACTCAACTTTCCCCACATTGGCATTTCCTTAAGGATAAGCATTTCTCCCTAGGCTAGGATTTGATTGCTGCGCTCATCCTGTGACCACCCAGCTTGAGACAACAGACCTGACACCAGCCACGCCCATCGAGACAACAGACCTGCTACCTACTGTGTCCATCAGTAGCTATTCTGGTAGGGCAATCTGGCAGGGCAATCTTGTGGCTATTGTTAAAGGGACATTGCAATCATATGTGATACATGCTCTTTGACGGTATATAACCGCTCTGTACACCCCACTTCTTTGGTGCCCTTCCTTCCTTAGGGAAGGAAGGCCCTGGGCTATGGTCCTCAATAGTTGGCTCATAATAAATTCACCCCAATTTTGCTTTACAGATTGATTATGGATTATTTATGTTGACATCTGGAACAAGTTGGTCCTAAGGCCACTTATACCCAGGATTTTTCACACATGAAACAATAAATCCCTTTTTTGCTTAATATTCTGTGACTTGAGTCAGAAGGAGTCTTAAATAATGCAACTGTTGAGCAGTGTTGCAAGCTAGAAATTTGGGAACCATTTCGATTCTTCTCTCTCCCTAACTATCCACATCCTAATATGGCACGTCTGAATATTCTACTTCCTCAATTTCTTTTCACTATGTTTCTTTTTTCCACTTCTCTAACTCAGGAGAGAAAAAAAGAATATCAATATTTGCTGAGTACTTGTTATGTGTTTATAGACTCCTAGCACATGTTCACTTTCTAATCCTGACAACAACACTACGAGAGACCTGAGGCACACAGATGGGGAATAGCCAGTCCAAAGTCACACAATGAGCCAGTGGTGATTACAGCTCCAGAGACCACACTTGGCACCACTATGCCACACTGTCTTGACAAACATTTGCTGAATGGCTAACCCCAGGAGTCATACCTACAGAACTCAGTCCAGGCAGTACCCCACATGGCACAGGCCAGTGGTTACTTAGTCCTTTTTGAAAATGGCAATGACCCTAAAGCAATCTGGTCAAGGTCAGGAGTCACACACACCCATCCTGACCATTATTCTCAGGGAATTGGTCATCAACCACTAAATCTACCCATTCTCAGCCCCAAAGTTTGCTGAGCCTGTTTGAAAGAAAGGAGCAACACTAAGGAGATTGTGGCCACGCCATATCCTTCAATCATAGAAAGACAAACAAGTGGCCTGGTGATTTTCCCAGCGCGAGTTCACATACGCGTGTACACACGTGCATGCACACACACAAGCCAGGCCATCAGACCATCTCCTTAAAAATATAGTTCTCCCTGGAGTCTTTCCTGAATAGTCCTGTGAATCTATTTCTGCCGCCATTCCTGGGCTCCTCGAGTTGTCCATTAGAATGCTTATTGCTTGTGCTATCTGGGAGCCCCTTTCAGCTCCTCAGACCTGCTGAGCTCACGCAGGGACTTTTGCCCTGTCCCAGGACACACCTCCCACCCCTCTCCACAATGACCGGCCACTGCTCTTCCTTCAGGTCTCAGCTTCAGGGAAGCCTTTTCTGCCCACCCTGTCTAACGCAGGCCCCCCTTCCCACCACCCCCTTGTTCAGAATCTCAGCCTCTTAATGATTTTCTTTACAACCCTTAAAACATCATGCAACTATTTTATTCACTTGTAAGTTTACTTGGGTTTTGTTTGTTTGCATGTGTTTTTTTGTTTTTTTTTATTTTTATTTTTATTTACTTTTTTTTATTATTATTATTTTTTGTGAGGAAGATCAGCCCTGAACTAACATCCATGCTAATCTTCCTCTTTTCGCTGAGGAAGACCGGCTCTGAGCTAACATCTATTGCCAATCCTCCTCCTTTTTTTTTTCCCCCAAAGCCCCAGTAGATAGTTGTACGTCATAGTTGCACATCCTTCTAGTTGCTGTATGCGGGCCGCGGCCTCAGCATGGCCGGAGAAGCGGTGCATCGGTGCGCGTCTGGGATCCAAACCGGGGCCCAGAGTAGGGGTGCACGCGCACTTAACCGCTAAGCCACGGGGCCGGCCCCTGTATGTGTTTTCCTTCTGTCTTTCTCCTTTATTTGAATGAAATCGAATAGGCACCTTGAGAGCAGGAAACCTGTTTGTTGTTGTAATCCTAGTACCTCACATCGGCCTGACGTATAGCAAGTGCCCAACATGGATTTGTAGAAGGACTGAAAAAAAGAATCAGCAACTATAACGTAGGACCTAAGGGGCTGATTTCACCCCATCACAGATGACCTGGGGGAGGCCCTTTTAAACTGCTTGATTGGTATAAATGGGTAAAATAGGTAAAATCCCCAAACCCTGGATCTTTGTCCATTTGATAGAATTAATTGATCCCTGAATGATTTCTGCATTCTTTTCCTATTCTCGTATGGCTGGCTTAGACCATAACTCTAAGGACACTAATTTTTATCCCATGGGACCCTGAATTTCTCTCTTGCCTTTGTCTGGCTTGGCCCCAACTTTATCTTTTATTTATTTATTTATTTTTATTTTTTTTTTTTTGTGAGGAAGCTTGGCCATGAACTAACATCCATTGCCAATCTTCCCCGTTTTCTTGAGGAAGTTTGGCCCTGAGCTAACATCCATTGCCAATCTTCCCCTTTTTCCTGAGGAAGTTTGGCCCTCAGCTAACATCTGTGCTCATCTTCCTCTATTTTTTGTATATGGGATGCCTCCACAGCGTGGCTTGTTGAGCGGTGTGTAGGTTGGCACCCAGGATACAAACCGGCAAACCCCAGGCCACCGAAGTGAAGCATTCGAACATAACCACTACATCACCGGGCCAGCCCCGGCCCCAACTTTAAAGTCATGCTAATGACACAGTCCCTCACCTCTCCCTCAAAGGGCTCAGCATCCAGCCAGGGAGCGAGGCAGGTGAGATATCCCCCTGTGGAGGAGAAGGGTACACAGGGGGCCCTGGAAGAACCTAAAACACAGAGCCTTTCCTGAGGAAAGGCAGGGATGACAGGCGAGGGATGAAACACAGCTCTCTATGCAGATCTTCCACGTTTCCAGGTTCTCTCCCATATTATCTCATTTAAGCCTCACCACAGCCCTGTGATGCTGATGTTTTTATCACCATTTTGTAGCTGAGAGTACTGGAAAAACATGAGCTTTTGTGTCAGACAGGCCTGCGTTCACATTTCACTCTCCCTAATTATGGCTCCAGAGCCCTTGGGCAAGTTACTTAGTCTCCTTATCTTTATTATGTATATTATTAAGTACATGTAATTACTAACTACAGAGAACTCCCTCTGTACACAAGTCTAACCCGGAGAACATAAAACAGAGTTTTAGTGATGTAAGTCATTCAAGTTTTATGTTCAAACGTCATGAAAGAAAATACAACTTGTTACAGTCACACTGATAGGAATGCAGGACATTTTAACCTCTGTTAAACTAACAAATTTATAGGCAGCAACTGGAAACAGTTAAGGTTTTTATGTATAGAATTGTGTGTCTAAGTGACTATGGCTGATTCATTCAGTGATTCATTCCCTCTCTCATCTCTCTGCCCAATTCCTATTAAGATTTTCTGTTAAATCCACCCTCGTGATTTCCATCCCTGCTCAGGACCTCTACATCCTTCACTCTCCATGAACTTGCCCCTGCAGTGGGCTCAGTCTTGCCTTCTAGAACCCAGGTTCCACACTGGCACCAGGCAGTTGGTTCCAAAATGCCACAGCCATGTCCCAGCTCTGCCCCCACCCTTCACTATCTTCCCTTCTCTATGCCATACAGCTCTCTAGCTTGGAACATAAGTCCCAATAACCTGACAAGAAGGAAGGTTGAATATCTCTTTAGCATTTTTGAGACCTAAGAACAGCTGCCCAATTCTTAGTTTTAAACATTTCAAGACCCTTAAAAGATGCCTTAGGAAGTAAATGAATTATAGAAATCCTAAATAAATAAACAACCTTCATAAAATGTGTTGTCCAATCATCAATAAACCTTGCTGTCTAAGGGTACAATGTTGTCAAGCAAATGTCACGTAAAATAAATGCAATGAGATAAAATGCAGTGCACACTTTCTTAAACACAAAAACACTGACCCCCAAAGCAGTAAAGACATCCCTGGAAAGATTTCTTTTTTTTTTTTCCTGGCAATATTTCTTGCCTCCAGTTCCACCTCCTAACTTTCCCCACCCCCAACCCCACCCTTGTTGATTATAACCCTGGGCTGCAGCAACAAAGCAGTTCACTGTTCCCAAGGCTTCTCCCGTTGTCCTGGGCTGCTGTCCTCTAGTTCATCTGAGTGTGGTGAGTATTTTTGCGATACAGAATACCTTTCAGTGTTGCAAACCTTTTCCCTTTTTCTCCCATCCTCTTTCAAAAGAAAAAAATTTATTAAAAAAAAAACCTATAGAGCCAGTAAAATCTTACCAAGTAACTAACACAAGCCAAGGCAGAATTGAATGGTAGGTATAAACCATTTGCCTAGGTGAATTTTTAAAAAGCCCACACATCTGTAACATGCAATTGTCTTTTAAATTAAATTTGACAGTAGTGATTCTTAAGAGCCTGTATATATCGTGATCGTTGCTTTAAAATATGCTACTAGAAGATACAGAGAAAAAAATGTTCTTGATTAGTAAAGAAGAAATCACTGTATCACCATTAAGACTGGTGTGTTTAAACAGAATATTCTAAATTCCTTCTAGAAAGTTTCTCTCTTATTTTGTGATTGGTTTCAAGATTTGCTGTTAGAATTAGTTTTGCTAGTTGTAGGGGCACGATTTCTGCTTCAGTCATTTTGAGGTTTATTATTATTTTATTGTCAAAAGTTAATTCTAAATGTCTCTGTTTTTATATAACAAAAACAATTTTTTGAAACTGTTATGATCTGGCTGCTCGTTACCTTTCCTGATTTGTAGCCTTGTTATCAGCAATATTACCAAAGAAACTCTCACTATTTTCACTCTGAGGGAATGATTACCTTTTCCCACTTGCATGACTTAAAGAAAAAAGCTTCTTTTTCTCCCTCTTACCTCCAGGTCCTTACATTTCTTAAAGATGGTGGATAAAAGGGAAGTGGGGTTAGGAGATGGTATTTCTGACGTCTAGATGTCTAGTCTAGAGATTTCAAAATTGTGTGTATGAGTCTTACAGTTTCCATATTCATACATTTGTTCATTCATTTATTTTCTTTAAAAAAATCCGTTGAGCATCTACTCTGCTCCAGGCACTGTGTTAGGATAAACAGATGAATGGCCAGCACCTGTGGAGCCCAGAGCCCAGCAGAGGTGAGGGACTTGAAAACAGCTCACCTTGAAGTGTTACCGAACCTCTCAATCTCAAATTTGTGTGCCCGATGCCCAGCAAGCCGAACACTGAGACCTCGGTGCTTGGAGATGAGAAAGGTTTATTCGAATTGGCCAAAACAAGTAGGTGGGAGCCTAAGTTTGCTCAAATCCACCTCCCCGAGAACAGAAAGCAGGGGTGTTTTATAAAGCTAAGGGGCTTGGCAGGAGAGGCTTCAGGGAAACAAAGGGGTCACTCCCAATAAGCCTCTGGGCAATCTGACTTCTGGGCTTCCACAGTTGCTGAGGGCCGCCATCCCTCTGGTGATCGCCACATCCGGTGATCGGAGAGATCGCAACCTCCCCAATGGCATTCTCTTTCTCCTGCAAAACCAGCTCACAAATCCTCAAGACTCCTGAGTCACCCCTCAAGTTAAACTGGAAAAATAGCAAATTGGTTTAATATCTACAGTACCCCTCAGATACCCAGCTTCAGAAGTATAACCAGGACCAGACAGACATCTTTATTTTTTTTATTTTTTTTTTTTAATAATTTTTATTTATTTGTTTATTTTCCTCCAAAGCCCCAGTAGATAGTTGTATGTCATAGCTGCACATCTTTCTAGTTGCTGTATGTGGGACGCGGCCTCAGCATGGCCGGACAAGCGGCGCGTCAGTGCGGGCCCGGGATCCGAACCCAGGCTGCCAGCAGCAGAGCGCACGCATTTAACCACTAAGCCACGGGGCCGGCCCGAGACAGACATCTTTAGAGGCCTTAAATGCACTGAAAAATTTATGATGTGCTACTTGTCCACACCTCTCCATTTGGAAATAGGTGTCAAGAAGTCCAATATAATTGTGATTATTTCCTTCAAGGATTACATTTATTTGAGGAGGGGCACTAAATATTTTTCCAAAATTTTCTCTCTTTTATTTTCCTTTATTGCCTCAGCTTTACTGGGGCCCTAAGGATATGCTCACTTCCTCTCCTGGGAGATAACCGAAACTAAGAGCACTTGAACGTGTTAGCAAGATGCAGAGGACGCCCTGAGGACTGAGAGGGACTCTGTGGTTAGCCGTCAGTTTTATTGAGAAATTAGCACTTAATACAGCATTGAAATTCACTTGGGTTTTAGTTGGGAGAGTGAAAATGGAGAAAAATGTGTGTGAATTTAATGGCTGCCCCTCTTAGTGCACAGACCATGTTCTGGAAGAATACATCTGGAGGCTTTGGGGAAAAAGAAATATTTTACAGTCAAGTGTGTAGGCTGATACTTTTTGCCTGAATTATATTTGTCAATATTTAAGTGTTTCATGGCCATCAGGTAATTGTATTTTTCACTGAAGTTTTGAGACCCATTTATACTGACTAGAGCACTCACAAATGGTTTTGTTATC